AACAAACTCTCAAAGCTAAAAGTGGACTGTTAGCTCAGCAGAATACATACTGTGAAGAACACAGAGACGGTTATTTGATTGTGCTTTCTGGAAAACAATAAATTTTTACTCCTGCAATAGTCACACTTTTTCTGTTACAAACTGACTCCGGCCCCCCACCAGAGAAGGGAAAAGTTGTGTGGCCCTTACAGGGAAAAGTTTGGGGACCCCTGAGCTACATCGTCGTAGTAGGTAGGGTGAATAGAAAAAAAAGAGCCCACAAACCTGCGCACATTTCCACTCCAGCGGACCAGTTCTTCTTAGAAATGTTTCCTCCACAGATTAATCCAGGCTGTTTGATCCTCTGTCTCCACTTCCTACACCTCGGTGAACATGTAGGTTGGATATTCAATCCCTTCGATTTAGCTAGTGATGTAGCTTATGCTGGACAATGAAGCACAAGTATCGCGAGACCGTGCGCGGCTTGTCCTTCCATTGTCACGTGACTATTCTGGAGGAAATGAGGTATATTTACTAGAGGAGCTATCACGTGACTTTGGGTATGCTAAACACGACTCCATCTTGACACAGTCATTCAACCATTGAACACAGACCCGCAATGCCATGTCACTGTGCAGCGTTGTCTTGCAGCAATCGTAGTGAAAAATGTTTGTACCTCATAACATTTCATCMGTAAGTTTTTTTCTTCCTTTAAATAAGAAGGCTATGTTTAGCATTGTGTTTATGTTCAGAATCAGTACTGACAAAAAAATGGATCAAAATCAGTTGTGAACTACATGAAATCTGCCTCTGCTGGAGAGTGAAAGTACATTTTTGTTTGTGTTTTTTGTATTTCTGTTGAGTCAAGGTGTGCCACTAAAATAAAGACAGAAGTGTTTATTTGCACTCCTGATTGCTTACTAAAGTTTGTAACAGTAAGTGTGTAATATTTACACAAAAGACACATGATTGTTATTTATCTACATTTATTAAGCAAAAGAAAAAAAGAAAGAAAAATACCATGACATTTGCTTTGTGGATTGCTTACTCTGTAACAGTAAATACATTTATTTTTCACATGTGGTAATATTTTTATCTATCTGAATTTATTCCAGTGTCATCTTTGTTTTTAAAACTAAATGTGCAATCCTGTCCTTGCACACATCCACTCGTGCTACAGCAGGTGAATACTGTCTTTGACATCTTCAATTCAAGAAATCTACACTGCAGTGTTTTCAAACATCCAATATGCCAGAGCAACTGCTTGGAAGTAGGTGAGAAACTACAGTCAGCACTACCTGTATTCATTGAAGGGTTCAGATGGAACACCGATTCACTCAGTAATGTTAATACTTCTTTGTAATACACACTGATCATGTCCACATTCCTACAGAATGTAAATGACAATAAATTGAGGAAACTATTTTACAGACGTGCTTTCAGGTCACTGCTATTTTTGTGCACTGTGAATTAAAAAAAAACAATCTGAACTGATATACAGTATAATGATTTATGTTTACAGGTACTTAAGTGTGTTTGGCTTCATTGTCAACATGGAGAGTTTGTTCAGATTGGTACCAGAAGTTCTAGCCAATCAAAGTTTCTTTTTAACTTACAAGTTGAGACAAGATCCCTTGGAGCTGTTCTTCAGTGCWGTACGCAYAGCGGGTAAGTTATAATTTGCTTTCAGTTTCAAGTGTACTTTTGGGCTATGATTTGTGAAACATAGTTGTTAACAGGCCTAGTGATATTTAGGATGTGTGATTATGCAGGTGGATTTAACAACAACCCAAGCTGTCGTCAGTGCATGGCAATCTTCTGTAAAATGATTGTGCACAGTGGGGTATCACTATCTGAAGCTGGAAATGTTGTCTCCGTGGACAGCACACAGTGTCTCCGGGTCAATGATGTCATGCCACACAAAGCAGCTGAGTCTACTTTTATGGACAACAATGTAGAGTCTTACGTCTTACATCCTTCTCATGACTTAGTTATGAGGAACTGAGAGTTCTTTAATACAGATAATAAAACCTTTTCTGTGTCATTATCAGGAATTAAACCAATGAGTAACGTAGTCAGTAAAGTTTGATCTAAAATAAACAATATTTATTTACTAAAACAATTACTTATAAACAAGACTCACTGAGGAATGATCAGATGTTTACAAAAGTTGAAATCGATAACATTTAACTCGAATGTGTTAAATCTCGTTATTTTGACAACTTTATCAGGAACAACAACGTTTGGCTTTAGATGTTAAATAAACCACTGTTGAGGCACTTATTCTTAAAGATTTTGACAGGACGTGGGAAAGAATTTAAGAGTTTAGAAGGGAAAAGGTTTAAGGAGGGAACTAGATTTTATCTTATCAAAGTGAGGAGCCAGGAGGGTTTGGGAAGTCTCGCTCGGCACAGCCAGGACGTCGACGCTCTGTAATCAACCAAGTTCAGCTTTTACCTTTTCAGACTTCAAGTCAGGTTAAGCHTGGTGGAAGTTGACCCGGGTCAGGTTTGGGATCCACTCAGAAACCTTCAGAACTGACCAGGTTGTCAGACTTCAAAGCGTTGATTATCTCGGGTCTAGTGGTCTCTTGGCTTCGTGCGTGGAGAGTCACAACCGACAGGTTCCTCGGATCAAAAATAAAAGCATCTCGAGAAGTTCTGAACAAAACTTCCTGGAGTTTGCTGGTAATTTGTTCCACAACCGAAGGTGTCATGGACAGGGAAATAAGATTGCTCCTTGGCAAAATGACCTGAAATCTTATCACCTGAACCCTGGTTTTTCCTGCAGAGGAAAAACTCAGCTCTTCTCTCTTCAAAGAGAAGATGGAGACTGTCCTGGGGAGGCCCGCCCGTTGTTAGTACTAAAGGAGGGAGAGAGAAAAGAGGGTACTATCGGGCATGGCCTTGAAGCTGTTAGTAAAAGATGGATGTGAAGTTTAGTCTGGGAGAGTTCCACCGGTCTGGTGAATACTGCCTCAGTCAGCAAAARAACACCTGTTAAAACAGCCTAAACCTTGGCAGGTTTTAAGAGTTGAAAATGAACCAAGCTTGAACTTTTCAAATCAACATAAAACTTAAGATTTTGTTTAAACTTAAGCACAAATAATCATACAGTTTTCATAGTAAAACATGGTAAACTAAATTATAATTATTGTTTAGTTGAAAATAAAACAGAAAACATATAATCGCCTTATATTCAATTCAAATAACGGTTGATTAAAACACATGCACAAATAAAGAAACATTGGAACAATATCTTTTTGTGTTTTTTCTTTTCTGAGTTATGATAAAAGAAAATAGCTTGTCATTCATTTAAGTATGTAACTTTGATTTATAAAATTATAACTTTTAGTTAAGAGATAACTTGTAGTTAAGATATAAAGAACGTTATTATTTTGTTTATTATCTTGATTAAAGAAAATAAAATGAAATAAAATGTCTCTTTACCGTTTAAGAAAGCATGTTATGACTATAAATTGAACAAAGTTCTGTTCTTTAAAGGAGGCCTTCGGAGGTCAATGTCAATGACAGGTGGAACGTTTTTTCCACACCTAGGTGACCACTACAACAACATCAACCACACGTACAACACATGGATCTCACCAAAACGTGCTCTGTTTYCTATGAACATCATAACATACATTGCAGGTTTTATGATGCGTCAGAATGTAACTGGGGTGTGTTGTGATGTGTGTAAATCATCTTTGGTCTCTAATGCTGTCCAACCTCAATATGATGATTTGTATCAGTTGCTTCAAATGAAAAATAAAGGTGGGCTTGTTACACCCTCACAAGGTGTAGTGCACCTTTTAACTGCAGCAGAAAAAGGCATCAGGCTTTTCATGAACATTTCCAATGCAACAAATGTCTGCTCCCGACACAGAGTGTTGGTCTATGTAAAAAATGAATGTGGGGATATCGATCCATTGTGCCTCAGAAAACATATAGTGGAGTCTCAATATGGCCTCATCCAACTCCTGGTGAACAGTTACTACACCATCAGACAGAAACATGTTGCCAGATTACACACCTCACAGCTTAAAAAAAAGAGTCTGTTTGCCAGAAACTGACTAAGCTCATTCTCTTCAAAGGCCAATAATTAAACAATACAGAAAAAAAAAACACTAAAAAATACAGTAAAGTACAGAATAATATGGACTTGCATAAAGATTTAATTCAGTTATAATTTCATAATATCAAATTCCTTTTTTTTCCATATCTTTTTTCAATTTCTTGCTTCAATTTCTTGCTCAAGAAAATAGTGTATTTACGAATTTTGTATTGAAGAAACTCCCATTTTCTAAGTGGAGTTGTGAGTTCTTCCAATGTCTTGATTTCATTAATCAGTGATTTAATGTTTTGGCAATAAGTATAATTTTTAAGCAGACTTGTGTTGAATTTACAAAATTTTATTTGACTGAGTTTATCCTAATACATTAGGATTCAAATACATTTAGGATTCATTTCTATCCTGATAAAACAGTGGTCAGTAAGAGGAGCTGCAGATAAATTGGAACTGATATCATAATCTAATAAATGGTTTAAAATAATCCAGTGGTCAATTCTAGATTTGGAATTATAGTTTGGACCAAACCAAGAATATTGGGTTACCTCAGGTTTGAGATGTCTCCAAGCATTGGTTAGACTGAGTTCATTGCAAAAATGATTAAAAAAAGTATTWGGATGACTTGAAAAGTATCTTGCAATAGCTAACATGTTTTATTGCAGTTTATTGCAGTTTAAAATCTGTCATCAATGTTTGTAGTGATTTAAGTTCTGCGAGAATGGAAACAGACTGCGAGTTGGCTTCATAATGAGAAGTTTCATTTTCAGAAGGCTTGATTGTTTTGGGGGGTTTGGGAAGATTTCACTGGAGATGACAAAACGTTTTTGGGGGTTTTAGCATCAGTTTCCATAACTTCCGTGCTACAGTAGTCATGTAGGAGGAGTGCCTTGGGCTTAGCATTAGCTTTGGGGTCAGCTTTGGCCATGCACGCAGTAAAAATGTTAAGGGTTATTATTTTTGGAAATGGTCCCATCGAGTGTCTTGGTATGTTCAGTGTTTAGTAGAGAAGTTATCACATACTAATATGTTGGTCTTCTTCCTTGTTAGTGTAACCCAGATCATTAAAGTGCCTTAAAGACTGCCCTTATTTAAGAAAATGCAGTTATTTTTGCTAATAGATAACAGCAACAGTTAATTTCTTTTGAGAGTAACTAACTACTCTCAACCAATCATCTTGTTAGTGCCCACTATCATCCCGCCCACTTTTCCTCCATGACCCCTGGAACATCCTTTTCGGTCAGATCGACGCAGAGCTTCAATGAGGCCTTTACTCAGCTGATGAAAGGAGAGAAACTGACTGCTAACCAAACTAAATTCAAGACTGATGACATACAGAGGCAGTGCAACCACCTGATACCATCTGTCAAGAGGAATAATTGGTTTTCCTTTTAGAAAATAGTGTTTGGTTTTTAGTGTTTTTTCTTCAACTGAAAAGAAAAAATGTTAAGCTAACTGAAAAAAAAAGTTTTTCAGAAGCTAACAGTACTCTCCACAAGCCAGAGACTAACCGTAACAAGTGGAATGTAATTACTTTAAAACTTATGATGAAACCCTTTTCATATTTAAATTGCACTCTAAAGTTTAGACTGTGAACCAAATAAATATGTTTATTCAAGTAATTTATTTTAATTGTAGACATCAGAAACATTGAGGCCGCCTTCCTATCTGGTCTTTTGTTTCTGCATTTTTTCCAAGAGATCGGTGAGGACTATTTTATGTTCTAAGATTTTATTTCCATACTGTTTTTTTGTTGAAATGTTAATATTGTCATTTAATGTGAATTTATTTAAGTTTTGAGTACAAGCACTTTATTTTATATTGTTTGTTGAATGTATTGTTCTTTCATGTTGAAACATGAATTGAAATTTAAAAGAGCAGTACAGGAAAAATGCATCAAATATGTATTTAATTGTTATTTTATTAGAATGTTTTACCTCGAAGAAATTCTAAAAAATAATACATTTACAGTCAGAGTGAAAACGATTTTGGAAACTTGTGATATTTTATCACACTGTCTGTGCACAGGTCAGGTATTTTTTTTTCTTCCTCCCCCCTCCCCTTATTCAACCCTCCGGTTACTCCAGAATATCTACTACAAGGACCAGCATTTGATGGCGAGCCAACCCCACTTTTGATCGAGCCCAGCTGCTACTACACTGTGCGGTGTGGTAGGCCCACTACAACAAATCCTACTTCAACCTGGAAAGACTCACATAAGACAGACTGGAATTAGGAGGTTTATTGACATGACTGGACCAACATGGTTATTGACATAAATGGCATTGGAGTTTGGCGCTCGCCTGGACCCCGGCAGAGGACGAGAGCGCTGAGTGAAGCTGAAAAATTGCCTGAAACTCTCAGAC